CGGTGCATGGCTAAAGAGTCTGGAAAAATGGTCCGTTCCTTGTAGTAAGTACCTGACACTTCTTGCTATCCTCTTCTTTCACATAGACCAAAAAATAGACTACTGCTGTCATATGGGCAGGAGCTACCAGTCTTCACATTTCAGTCTTCATAGAGTCCCAAAGCGTCTCCGCCTCCTTGTGGCTGACGAATTATTTCCCACCCTACAATCCCTTTCCTCACAGACGAAACATCGCAAGTCTCTAGTTGATCTATCGTTTAAGACCCACCATGCCACGCCCATTGTCGCGAACCACCCTCATTCTCTCCGTATTCCATTGGTGAGGTTTACATTGCACTCGAGCAAATTCAACCCATCAACTGCTGCTTTGTTTAGCCGACACCCAAGATGATGTTTCCTCGATCGCTACAATCTTAACCAGATCAAGTCTAAGATTATCTTTTGCACATATCCCCATAAACTACAACTCTTACTCTGTAATCCTCTACATCGAGTGGCTCTCAGGCCTTGTACAGCGTGAATATCTCTGTAAAAATATGCTCATTTTCGCTTTAATTATGTAAAAAAAAAAGCTTTAAAAATTCTATTTTAAATCTTAAATTATAAAAATAAAGAAAATAGCGATGTCAAATATTTTAAGTTTTTAAATAGCGATGTCAAATGTTTTTAAATTTTTAAATTGAATATCATTTAATACCATGATACCTCTTCCGGTGAACTGTTTTTCTGTGGGGCCGACTCCCAAGGGGGTGTTTTCCCGATAGCTACAATCATTATCTTCTCTATATCATTTAATAGCATGATACCTCCGGAATCATTTAATGTATAATGGAATTGTGTATTCTTCGCCTACTCTTTTCTCTTTGAGACGCAGGAATCCAGATATAAGACTGATTTTGGTTTTATTCTTTCACGTTTATGTGCAGGCAAATATTCCAGGCAATGATGTAATGTTCTGAATCTTAGAGTTACCAATTAAATGAATGATGCCTGTATCGTTGAAAAATTGTATATCATCCCTTCACCATATCGGCTGCTCCAATGAAATATCAATTGATGACGCCTGCCGTTTAAGTGTTAAATACACGACTGAGACGTGAGAAATTAACAGCAAATATTTGTTTGTCGTTGCTGAAACAATGTTTTTGTTCAGTACGGATTGAGATTATGTGAATAATTGCTTTTGGCATTGGTCTTTTGACAAGGAGATCGAGAAAGAAATAAAAGATAAAACGTGGAGGGTGGGTAAAGAAGCACGCATGCACTTACACATAGATAGAAAGCGAGCGAAGAGAGAGAGGATGGAAAGGCGTGTGAGAGAGATAATCCCTTAGCGGACAATAAATGGCGGGAAAAAAAGAAAAGGAAAACAAAGATGTTAGACAAATGAAAATGGCAGTTTGGTTAAATCGTTTTGGGAGAAGAAAACAAAATATAACAAAGCAACAAGTTTTATTTTATTTTTATTTTTCAACTTGGGTAATGGTAATAAATAGGACATGTCCGCTTCAGACGAGTGAACGCGTGTCAGGATCTAATTTCATTCGTATCTTGCTGAAATGGTTTTTCTTGTACATTTATTTTAGTAGGAGAATGGTTTCATGACGAGAGATTTAAATTTCTTTCCTTCTTTCTTTCTATAGGGATTTTTTTACCCCCATTTCTTTGTCATTCACTTTCTTTCTTTCCTTCTGTATCGTCTTCACTCATTTGTAACGATTTCTTTTTTTCTTTCTTTTTTTTTCTTTCTCGTCTTCACCCTTCTCTAACGCCTTCTTTCTTTCTTTCTTTCTTTCTTTCTTTCTTTCTTTCTTTCTTTCTCGTCTTCACTCTTCTGTAAAGCTTTCTTTCTTTCTTTCTTTCTTTCTTTCTCGTCTTCACCCTTCTGTAACGCCTTCTTTCTTTCTTTCTTTCTTTCTTTCTTTCTTTCTCGTCTTCACTCTTCTGTAAAGCTTTCTTTCTTTCTTTCTTTCTTTCTCGTCTTCACCCTTCTCTAACGCCTTCTTTCTTTCTTTCTTTCTTTCTTTCTTTCTTTCTCGTCTTCACTCTTCTGTAAAGCTTTCTTTCTTTCTTTCTTTCTTTCTTTCTTTCTTTCTTTCTTCTGTAACGCTTTCTTTCTTTCTTTCTTTCTTTCTTTCTTTCTTTCTTTCTTTCTTTCTTTCTTTCTCGTCTCCACTCTTCTGTAAAGCTTTCTTTCTTTCTTTCTTTCTTTCTTTCTTTCTTTCTTTCTTTCTTTCTTTCTCGTCTCCACTCTTCTGTAAAGCTTTCTTTCTTTCTTTCTTTCTTTCTTTCTTTCTTTCTTTCTTTCTTTCTTTCTTTCTTTCTTCTGTAACTTTTCTTTTCTTTCTTTCTTTCTTTCTTTCTTTCTTTCTTTCTTTCTTGTCTTCACTCTTCTGTAAAGCTTTCTTTCTTTCTTTCTTTCTTTCTTTCTTTCTTTCTTTCTTTCTTTCGTAATTTTTGGCCATCAAACATGTTCTATCTCAAAGAATTTATTATTCATGTCCAATGAAATCTTCAAGAAGTACAAAAGAAATACCTTTCTTCCGAATAAAAGACTTATAAAAGACTTTTTTAGTTACCTCAGAACCAATATTTTAGCCTTAAAGAATTTGATGCTTCAAATGCTCAAAAAGTTATCCGAAGTCAAATTGTCCTGATTACTGCAAGTATTTCCACCCGTCTTGATTAGTTCGATTTCAACCAATATATTAACATTTTAAATTCTATTGTTCACCTCATACAAAGCCCAGGAGCCACTCAAGCTAGATAGTTACTGAAGAAGTTTGCAGTAAATGCCTAAGAGGAAGAAGTAAAAAGTACATATTATTAGGATAGGTAGGATAGATGGTTTACACAAGTGTCCATTTGTGTCTGTGAGTCATTTTGTCTTACAAGGCCGTGAATCTGTGCCTGGAAAATCTTGCTTCAGTTCATGTTAGTAGAGAAGTATTTGTTGTGGTTGTAAAGGCTGCCGGTTACAGTGAATAGACCTGAAAGTGATGCTTTTCACTATTGACGTAGTGATTTTTTTATGATGAGTGCGTATTTCGTATGGGCAACACGTCTATGTCCTTTTTTATCTTGATCTTTTTAGACTCGTGCCTTCAACAGAAACAGCCACAACATTCTCTAACCTTTAGCGCAACAAGATGAACATTCCTTTTTGTAAGTTTTCATTGGATATCTTCGGACCTCAATTAAGTACGTATCATCATTCATTAAATCGTCAAACTTAAACAAAACAAAACAAACAAAATTTCTATGAATCACATCAACTAACATCAATAACAATTTCTTTTGAGGACACTGTAACATCTAGAATAAAGATTTTCGAAATCGGCCCTTGCGCCGTTTCCTGCCTTGGTTTTTATTCTCGACAACGCGACTGCCTATTGGGATTTATGTATAATCATTCTCATAGAAAACTCTTCTTGAACACAAATTATAAGCTGGAATAAAACTTATTGTGAAGAGTTTAAATCTGTTTTTGCGTCTTTTCCTGCTTTGGGTCTGAAATGTAGAGAATATGCTCAATATGAGGAGAGTGAGCTTTTACAATGATTCCTTAGTAAGTGTTGTCTGAACTGGAACAACGTCGATATTAAGCTGCATATTTAGTTCATTTGATGAGAACTGAACTCACTCTCGGTGGCCTGTCAGACTACCACGCCAAATAGCACTCCTATTCCCCGTTTAAATCTCTAGCTTTTCGTCAAAGTTATGCAAACCGTTCCTGAATGATCAATGGGTTCGATCAGCATGGGGACGAATACTTAGTTTGCTTAAAAAATTTCGACGCATTTATCTCGGGGTGAGATTCAGATATAAAAATATTCTGTCTGATTTGTGATCACCCAGCAAAAGATATAAAAAATATCAAAGAAAAAAAAAGATGAAAATCATTTACCGAAAACTAATAACAATCACGAAAAAAGATGACCCACCTTTGAACAGTGACATTGGGAATAGAAAAAAAGTAGAGAAAAAAAAAGTACACAGAGTAAGCGAAGCGAGCTCAAATTGAGTCGACAGACTAATTCACCGTGTTTGGTGCAAATTGATTTATACGGGGAAATATATTTCGCGCCGAGCAGCACAAGCGAAACTATTGTTAGTGGCAAGTCAGCGCGAAATATTAGATTACTGAGCATCTTTGAGAGTTGAGTTTTTCAAATTCATACCTTATTTCAAGCTCGTTTTTTCCTATACATCTGTAGAGTCATTTATATCTTTTATATCGGTGCTTATATCAGTTCATATGTATCTATCATTATCTATCTATCTATCTATCTATCTATCTATCTATCTATCAAAATCTGCTCATATCTATCTATCTATCTATCTATCTATCTATCTATCTATCTATCTATCAAAATCTGATCATATCTATCTATCTATCTATCTATCTATCTATCTATCTATCTATCTCATTCTGCTCGTATCTATCTATCTATCAAAATCTGCACATTATCTATCTATCTATCTATCTATCTATCTATCTATCTATCTATCTATCTCATTCTGCTCATATCTATATGTCTATCACAATCTGCTCGTATCTATCTATCTATCTATCTATCTATCTATCTATCTATCTATCTATCTATCTATGTCTGTTCATAATCTATCTATCTATCTATCTATCTATCTATCTATCTATCTATCTATCACAGTCTGTTCATATCTATCTGTCTATCACAATCTGCTCGTATCTATCTATCTATCTATCTATCTATCTATCTATCTATCTATCTATCTATCTATCTAGTTTATTCCTCAATATATTTACAGAAAGAAAAAATTGAAAAAGGAAATAGGGAAAAGCTTCATGATTTATATTTCGATTTCAAATTGTTTATATCTCTAAGCTATTTCCCGTCTATTAATCGATATGTCGCTCTCAGGCATGGTCTAGTGGTTACCATGCTGGCCTCGCAAACGTTTACGAGTAGAAAAATGGATTATTCAGCACCTTTGAGTGTTCAGCCAAACAAATTCAAATGTTATTTCAATTTCTCTTTGTACATATATATGAACAATTCTCTTTATGGCCATACGTTATTTGTCAACCCCTGTCTGTCTGTCTGTTTCGGCTTTTCTGTCTCTGCCTGTCTCTGTCTTTCTTTCTGTCTTTCTATCTTTCTTCCTTTCTTTATCTCGTTTCTTTCTTTCTTTCTTTCTTTCTTTCTTTTATTTTACCTTTCTCACTTCCTTTTTCTCTTTCTCTCTGGTTTCTGTTTTTCTGTTTTTATTCTTTTTCTGTCTTTCTCTGTACTTTTGTTTCACTCTATGCATATCTATCTATCTATCTATCTATCTATCTATCTATCTATCTATCATGGTAATTTACCCAGGCACGCATGGATTCTTCCAGCTATAAATAGGAGCAGGTACTGCCTTTTGGAGAGGAAGGTTTCCAGCAGTCAGCTCTGACAGTCGGACCAAACATTCTTGCTGTAACACTCTGTTTTGTGTATATTTTTATTACTGTTTTTGTTAATAGATTTGTTTAATTCAATTCCTCTCTTTGTGTCTTTATTTCTAGCCCTAACAAGGACACAACACTATCTATCTATCTATCTATCTATCTATCTATCTATCTATCTATATATTCATCTATCTATCTATCTATCTATCACAGTCTGTTCATATCTATCTATCTATCTATCTATCTATCTATCATATCTATCTATCTATCACAGTCTGTTCTATATCTATCTATCTATCTATCTATCTATCTATCTATCTATCTATCTATCTATCTATCTATCTACCCACTACGTACTTTTGTTATTAGGTGCACGATACTAATGATCATGTTGCACTTTCTTTTCTCAATTCCTGGGCGAGGTCGTTGTATTTTATTTCATCCTCACCCTGCGGTCAGCAGGCACACCTATCTGCGATATGACAGACGTTCACTATTTCTTTACCTTCTTCACAACAACCGAAGGCGCGCTCTCCTTTCTTCCATCGGACAACAGCATATTTCATCGAGGTTTTTGCGTTTTTACTTTTTTTTTATTTTCTACGTCAGCTTTTGGCATGTGATGAAACTATTTAGTATACCAGTTCGAAACCAACTTGTTGTTGTTGTTGTTGTTGTTCTTCTTCTTCTTCTTCTTCTTATTATTATTATTGTTGTTGTTATTATTATTATTAGTAGTAGTAGTAGTAGTTGTTGTTGTTGTTCTTGTTCTTCTTCTTCTTATTATTATTGTTGTTGTTATTATTATTATTATTAGTAGTAGTAGTAGTACTATTAAGAAATCTAAGGCCCAAAATGCTGCTATGACATTTTCCCTATTTAAAAAAAATACAAACGCATACAAATGTTATATTGATAAAGTTACTATTGTTAAAAACGGACAATTTAAAAGGATATATAAATATATAGAAAAATATATACAAAAAGAATACACAAAATGTATATCTAAAACATATAAAACAAAATGTGTAAGAAATTTAAGCTGCTTGAGTGTGTATCGTCTGCTTTTCTGAGAGAAAACAGACGCTGCGTTGGGTTCTTGATTAATTTTTAAATTTCAAAAATATTCATTCAGAACCAATTAAAAGGTTTCCTTTCAAATTCCGACAAAATGAATTTGAAGACTACCTGTACGTAATAAAAGGGGGCCTTGGATTTAATTCAAAGCTGTCGACGAACATTTGCTGCTGGAACGCAGGTCGATCCGGCCTAGAAAGAAAAATAAGACAGAAGAAATTTGACAACCATTAGAAAATTGAAAGGGACATCAAATTCCCCGCCTCATCCATGAAAAGTCTTCGACTGGTGAGATTGTTATATTCTTCGATGTTACCATGAACTTTGCTTCGAAAATTGTACCACCAATTCCTTGAAAACTACTCAGAGAAATATTTTCTCCCTTTCTACATTTTATATGTAGTTTTTTTTCTGAGGACTGTTATGCAGTATTATAATTTTTATTGTAAACAAGCATATTTCATTTTCATCGATTATTTTTACATGTATCTTATTGGCCATCATTTGGCACATAGTGAACTTAATTTGTCTAATTCATTCATGATTTTATGGGTTAACAATAAATTTATCATTTACTTTAAAATTCGTTTCTTGTTGTCTATCTTTGTTGTGGGTCCTTATAAATTAACTGTTGTCTCAAAAATCTTTTTGAACTATTTTTTTTTACCAAATAAAAAAAAATCCTTTTAGGGTTGGCGGAGGAAGAGTATATATAAAAGAAAAAAATGACTTACCGGAAAATGATGGATCAAAAGATTTAACAAAGAAGCAAAAAAAGAAAAAAAAAAGAAAAAAAAAAAAAAGAAAGTCTAATCTGTTATCGCTCTACGCTCGTTACAGTCAATCGAGGACAAGATAAGTATGTGCACAACAATGAAAACATTAGCTTTATTATTATTATTATTATTATTATTATTATTATTGTTATTCCTTTGTCTCTGTCATAAAAATGATGACAACACTTAGGTTTTGGTATAACATTGGCCTACACATGTTTTGGTGAAAGCCATCATATACTTTTTCTGGGCTAATTCTGGGACACCGAGTCCAAAAACTAAGTCTATTTTAACTGGTTAAATCAATATTTTTTTCTATCAGAATTTGGCTGTAAATGATTATTTACAGCTAAATTTTGCATAATGTTCAAATTAATTCTGAAAAATGCCTCCTATAAAAATCCATCTGGTTTTTATATTATAATAATACATGATGATAATGACAGGGTAATTGTATTGTTCTAAGTTATGAATAGAAACAATATAAAGTCCTTGGATATAATCCCTTTACATAGTCTGCATCAAACATTGGTGAGTGAATTTTGATTTTTTAAGTGATATCATTTAATTTGGGTGATTTTTGGGATGAGTAAATTGAAAGATTCTTCCAGGTTATGGAAGAATGGTATGAAGGACTCTATTGGGACAAAAGAATGATGGCTGACAGTTGCTGGAACTTAAAATGGAACAAATCATCTACTAATCATTCCCCAAATCAATTAAGCGAAAGTTTTTGCCAGGATTACCAATTACTCTCGATATTAGAATTTTAATCATTTATTCTGTTATATTTCTGTCGTATTTCAGAATTTTTTTTTTGCCTTTAGATTGTATTTATACTTCAAATGTGACTTTAAATTTTCTTCACATTATACCTCACTCAATAGAAACAGAAGCCGACTGGAGAAGACTCTCCTGCTTAGTCAGTCTTGAATCGAAAAAGACATGAATGTCCAAACGTGTATCGCGTATGGCACTTAACTGACTGAACCCGATCAGGACCATTTTCTTTACGTAGGAGATAGTCTTCTGAAGTAGGAAAACTATGATTAATGGTGAAAAATAGAAGTTATTTTTGGATTCAGCACTTAAGAATTATTCAAAATAGCGAAAAAAATCCTAAGCACCATTGCAAAACCAATTTTTCTAGGCCTGTGTAATTTGTTATATACAAAAATGGTATTCATTTATCAGTGTGTTAAAGTAATAGAATTCAAATAAAGTATGGCTTCTTATTTGACAGATTTAAAGTAACAAAAACATCACACAAATGCAATAAACAGAAATGAGCAAATTATGTTTTTCTATATATACGCATGCATATATATATATATATATATATTTATTCAAAAATTATAACATAAAAATGTTATAACATCACTAGAAAAATAGCCATTTTGTTTCAACACTTCAGGTGTCTTATCAAATGTTGATTGTGAATAAAAAGTTTTTTTTACCTTTATTTTATATATATATATATATATATATATATATATATATATATATATATATATATATATATATATATATATATATATATATATATATATATATATATGAAATAAAGGAAAAAAAAAAACTTGTATCCTTCGTATAGAAAACGTTAAAATTTCGCTTGGTTAACGCTGTATTACAATAGCCTAGTGGTAGAATCTCTGACTGATGCCAAATCATTCGGGTTTCGATCCCCTCTTGACGCAATAGGATGTCTAGCCACACTGAAGTGCTGTGATACATCAAGGCAGTTTGTCTGAGTGACTCTCTCTCTCTATGTATATATATTCAATTGTATGTATATAATTTTGTAACCCTGAGTTTCACGCTTTCAGACAAATTAGCTTATTTTATAAATAAACCAGTTTATTATTTATTTTACAAATAAACCAGTTTATCTGATGATCACAATGCGTGAAACCCAGGGTAACAAACTAATATCGACACAACTGAATATGTTAGCTCTATCTCAGATATTAAGCACTTTCCTCTAAGTACCGCGATTATAATATATATATATATATATATATATATATATATATATAATTTTTTCATATAGACAAAAGCAATTTTGTCCATATGAAAAAATTATGATTAATAATTATTTCTCTATTTTCGTTTTCATTACATTCGGATATATGACAATAAACTACAACTACAGCAGCAAGGCCTCTAATCAGGAGATTTGAGGAGCTTGGAACCACCTCTTAATTGCTGGTGTTCCAAGGACCAACCTGACCCGGGGTGGTAATACCTATCAGGGTTCCAGCTATGGGCAAATATTTAACCCCGCCAAAAGTCGTCAAAACACTATGAAAGTATAAAAATAGGTCTTAATACCAACAATACTTTTCAGGAAAAATTTTCACCAGCAATACATTTTTTGAAAAAAATATTACCAGCAATATATTTTTGCAAAATATTACCAGCAATACATTTTTGAAAAGCAAAACAAAAAAAACAAAAACAGAGAAGCAATAAAGATCTTGTCAGCATTATATAACCCATTGAGGTGTTGATATGCCGTAAAACAAACCAAACCAAACCAAACAAAAGAATATAAGATTCAAGTAATTGCAGATGATGTAATCTTGTATTCAGCATCCATCTCCAACTTACATCATATTCAAGTTAAAATTATAATCTACGGATATATGCAATTTTAATAGAAGCTTAAATTATGCTGACATTTCAGGAAATAGACCCACAGAGAGACGATATGAGGCATATACATAAGATTGACACAACCAATGAAAAGAAAACAGAATTTGAAAAATTGATACAGATAGACGTAAATACACGCAGTATGAGAGAGAGAGAGAAAGATGGGGGAGAGAGAAAGAGTTGGGAGAGAAATAGACAGTAGAAAAGAAAGAAAGAGTGGGGATTGAACCTAAGATGAATGGTACATAATCTAGAGAAATTATAAGCAAAGGGATTTTGCAGATCATTACTTCAGTCTCTATCTGAATTTATGGAATGAGGCGTTATCTTTTTTGAGATTATTTATACGCAGACTATTGTCCTCATCTTTGTTGTTGTCGACACAACCAATGAAAACAAAACATCAAATTTCAAACATGAAACACAGTTGCATATTATTCCACTATCCAAAATTTGTGATGAAGCTAAATAAACAGCGAAACACGTTACATTTATAAAGGGTCTCCTAGATATGCTTTATCTAATTATTCTATCTTGAATAATCATTCTATTCTATCTATTGAAAGAGAAAATATATTAAAATAATTGTCAGACTTAGTCTATTTCATAATATATGATGCCATTTGTTTACGTTAAGATACGCTTCGAGCAGATATGGACGTTGGAGGGAAATCATGGGAAATTTGTAATTTAAAAACAGTAATTCGACTTTGCTAACCAGACGCTTCCTCTATAGCTAAATGGTATAGCACGTCAGGTTATCTGACGGTACCGTGTAGGTTCGATTCCTGTTGGAGGGCTCATATTTTCTATGAAATTTCTCGGACATTCCGGCCAGTAAATATTGTTAATACTGTTTATTATAAACAGATAAACAGAGCATTTACTTAAATATTTGTATCTATAAAAATAGCATATAAACAGAAAGTATATCAAAATAATTGTCGGACTTTGTCCATTTATTATATATATATATATATATATATATATATATATATATATATATATATATGCGTGTATGTGTGTGTAATTTCGAAAGATTTAATAGCGCTTGGGAAT